TGTGTGTGTCTCGCTCAAAATAGGTATTGCTTGTAGGTTCCATTTTTGTTTGTATATCTATCGCAACAATGCACCTATATGCAAAAACATAAGATGAGTTTTCATATTCGTTTTCATATTCATAATCATTTTACATATTCGTTGTATAAAGTACATCAATTGGTCTCGTCAAAAGCAGCACAAAAGTTGCGATAACAATATGCCAAAAAAACAATTCTACCTTTATATATACATATATATGTATAATATATATATATATATATATATGTATGGTATATATATTGGTAACTAATAATATTTGAATCAATTCGTTTTGCAGCTAAATCCAAAAGGTGCTACGGCTTATTTAATTATTTATATTTACTGCTATTCAATAAATTAAAAGCTAAATTTGTATTTGTATGTATATATATATATATATATATATATATATATATATATATATATCCAATATATGCATGTATATGTATGTAGTATGTATGTATATTTGGTATTTAGAGTGCCATATAAATAATTTGGGTTTTCGCTTACTTATCGCAATAGTTTAACGAATTCCAAATATTTACTCAAAGTTACAATGCGCTATAATACTTTTTTGGTTACCTTAAACTCGTAATGCTCTATTGCTCAATGCTCATTGCTCATTGTTGCTCATTGCTCATTGCTCATTGTTATAATTAATTCATTATTGCTATTGCTTTTTCTGTTAGTTTTCGTTGTTGTTGTTGTTTGTTTATCAATTATGTTAGAGAGTACTCATACCATATACAATAGATGTAAATATAAGTTGTTATTTGTTTTTTTCATAATATATATTCGAAGTGTTAAGTCTTTTATTTTGGTTGTTGTTGTTCTTCTTCATTTTGTTAGCATATTTATAATTAATGTTTAGATTTGATGCTTTTCAATAGCTTAGTTTTCTCGTTTTCGTTTTCGTTTTTAATTTTGTTTTCATTTCTGAAAATTGTTGTGTTAACGTGCCAAGTCTTTTTATTGTTTAATCATTGCTGATGCTCATTATTTATACATAATTTTAATTTTCACTACGTGTTCGCTTTCTTTCGTGTTTTTTTTTTTGCGGTCTACAAATGATAAATCATAAATATAATAACACTAATAATAATATCCTATGTACAGACCCAATGCAAATTAAATTACTTGGAATTAAATGTGCGGCACTCGAATATTGCCAATCTGGTTTAGGCTGGGGAAGGGTTGGTTTTTGGGGCTGGGTGTGATATTCTTACATTTTCATTTTATTACATTACCCATTGTTTGGGTCTCCTCCTAACGAGCGCTCGTTAAAACGCATTGACACAAAAAGGACAACATTGTTCTGGGCAACAATGAGGGGGAATAGGGGGGGAAGGGGGGGGGGGGGTCAGCAACAGATAATGGAAACAATGGATCATGAACCTGATGCTACCCAAATACTGAATTCAACAATTGCAAGTATTTAAAGTTGCGCTGGCTCCGTCGATATACAACTATGTAGTTAATATGCTATGCTAAAAATGTATAAACTTTAACAATTTCACTTTGTTTTTGGTTTTAACAATATGCCATGATCCTTATAATGTTGGACGAACCGATAACATGTGTGTGCGTGGCTGACGAAACCTATCAAACCGAAATGAAAACCATAAAACGGGCACTTTTTGAAAACAAAAATGTAACCGCCGATTTGCTGGACTAAAGCTTTTCCAAATATAATCTATATACTATATATATGTGTTTTCGTAGATGTATATGCGTTTATTTAATGTTCTACGTGTCTTTTGGTTATTTTAAAAATTTCAAAATTTGAAAATATTTCTTGCTTGCGGTTAATCTCCGCTCAAAAGTATCTCAATTAATATATATATATATATATATATATTTTTTTTTTAGCTTTTGTTTTTTTAGATTTACAACTACCTTTTATTGCTTGTCGATACACGTTAAGTTGTTTTTAATTTCCTGGAGCTCATTTCAATATTTTTGTTTCTTTCTGTTATCAATTGAGCAAAATTAATGATAACTAATGATACTTTGTCAGCTGTCAGCTTTATAATTGTTTGTGTGTGTGTGTGTGGAAATATCACAACATTCGAATTGCTTTCGGTTCTTGTTTTTATTTATATATCCCCTATTTTGTGATCTAACAAAAATAATGCCAACAGGATTTTAGAACTCTACTTCAATCACTCGGTGTAAAAATTAAAAAATTAAAAAAAAAAGAAAGGTTTAGAGTCCAGTTTTCTAGGTTTAGTTAGTCTTGAAAATCATAAAACGTAATTTTGTTGAAGAATGAAAAACAATTTGTTTTTTTTTTTGTTTTTTTTTTCTTGTCTTGTATTGTGTAAGTATTTATGTATATTGTATATTGTATACTTAAAACATTATAATTGTTTCTTGTTAGCTTTTTGTTTATAAATACATGTGTGCTGTCTTTACCAATTTTAAATAGTTTCAACCTTATGTTTACTTAGATTCTAATAAATTGATTAACCATTATGTTATTGCTTTCATTCACATAATTAATTATGCATTTTGTTTGTGATTTTTGTTGTTGTTGTTGTTAATTTTTAACTTGTTTACATTGTTATACAAAATTGAATATTATTGCCGGGCCTTAACAAAACATTTCTTTCGCTTTGTAAATCCTTAACGAACTTTTACAGAGACACAAACAAATCGAATTACATAAAAAAATAATAATCGTCGGTAACTATGACTATAAGTAGCTTTTCGTCGTTTTAGTTATAATTGAATATTCGTTTGTTTTTTGCCTTTGTTCGCATTTTGTTTGAGTATTGCTTTGGTACTTTAGCCGATTCCGATAACGATTCCGATTTCGATTTCGACATCGATATCGATTCGTTTCTTTTCGATTAAAAGTTTTGCGCTGCTCACTCGCTCGATTTGGAGATTTTGGAGGCAGCGCAAAACTCGTATTGCTTCTACTTTTAACAGTATAAAAATAATTCTCGTCGTGATTATACTTACTAGGTTAACTTAGGAGTAAATGTACACTATGTCTAAATAATATATATATATATTTTTTTTTTATGCTGTATGTATATATAATTGTAAATATTACGCAGCTACATACGTATTCTAAATGTTTGTATATATATATATATTTATATATATATATATAGATTCCATCTCGCTCGCTTAGACATATCAACAAGTTTCGACTGGTTTGATCTAAACATTGCTACTTTTTAGGCTAAGTTCTCTACGACTATGGCCACAAAGTTCGTTGCACCTTTTCTTTTATTGAGATCGGTCGCTGAAGCTGATTTCAGTTGAGTGATTTTTCGATTAAATACTATATACATGTTTGTGCCGCGTACTTGTCTTATGTTGTGTGGTGTAATTGAGAATAAATGAACGTGTATGAGCTACATAATTTAAGTAGGCGTAAGTAATATCGTACTAGGTAAGTGTTGAAAAGTGCAAAAGTAGTATTTTGTTTTATTTTCTTTTGGTTTTTTTTTATGCATGGACGAAGTGTACTGTTAAATGCTTGAGACTAGATCACACTCGATATACATCTTTTTTTCTGGTTTTGAGGGGCACGATTAATGCGCTCGAATACGGACTTGATAAAAGGCTTCAAATCATTTTGGTCCGAATACTGTATTCTCGTCAAATGGGCCACAACAGAATGCAATGCTCTAAAACTATATATAACTGAGGTCCGGGGTCCTTTTTCCTTTTCCTTTTCCTTCCTTTTTTTTTTTAAATAAAAATTTGCTGTTATACAGCGACTAGATTTCTTTTTTAAATACATCCTTTGTATATTATGTATGTATAAAATTTCTGAATTTTTCTTCTTCTTGTAATTGCCTGGAATGTTAATTGACTAACTTTATAATGTCGGGACATGAAACTGACTGTTTGGCTGTTAATGCAAATAATATGCCCAAATCTGTTTAAGCTTTCCCCTCCCGCGCCGCTTTTCCTAGCCTCTAGCCTGCGAAATGATAATTAAATCGATTCAAAAATGTGCCAATAATAATGTTCTGATGATGATCTTCTATAATAAGTATATGGTAGATATTGCTTTGCGTTGTCATTTTGATTAAATTTTGTTTAGATTTCGAATTGAAAAATTTCGTTTTTTTTTTTGTTTCGAGTACTAATCGTTGTTTTTTTTCTCGCTTATGTGACTTAGTTTAAAAATGTTGTGAAAAACGTGGCGCTACTATATAAACTGCTTATAGATAGGCTGCCCTTACGACCTAATTCGTTGTTTGAGAAACATTGCATTTGCTTTTGTATTCGTTGCATTAATTTTAATCACTTCGTCTTCGTTTTGTTTTCGTTTAGTTTTTGTTTTTTTTTTTTTTAGTTTTTTTTTTGGATTAAAGAGAGAGGAGAGCTAAAGACTAAGAGTTTTGATAGAGCTACAGGTTATAGTACATCATTAATGTGTATATATTTCGTTACATAGATATAGATATAGCATAGAAAGAATTGCTCAAGTTCAGGTTTGGATTGCATTCGGATCGCACCTCCTGCAAAAGGCTTTCATGTGTGTGTTCGTGGCGTGTGTCAAATATATATATATATATACATATATATATATATATATATATGTGGGTTAGGTTCTTGTGTTTTTCTCTTTTTTGGGCCTAGGAATGTTCAACTCGCTTAAGACTAAAAGAAGAACGAGATTAGGTTTCGCTAAGTGTATTTAGTTTGTTTTCGCTTTTTTTTAATTATTTATTTTAATACTTTTTTATTATAAGGTATTTGCTGCCTAAGGTGTCTAATGCGAATTTCTACAGTCTCTGTGTTGCTCTACTACACTTGCTTTTTGGACGTATTGTGATGTCAAGTATGTAATCGTATTTTTATCTTTTCTTTTCATTTATAAAAACTGCTAGCGGTTCGATAACGATAACGGCTATCGATCGGTAATCGGTAATCGATAACGATAACTTTCTGTTTAACATTAACGGTAAATTAACTAGGGCTTTTGGCATTCGGCCACACTTACTCAACATTTACATGGCATAGCTGACGCCTCCAACTCCCACTCCGACTCCTCCGATTCCATTTCCGGTCGCCTCCACCTTCACACGATCGAGAAACTCGTGCGGCGGCGATGCCAAGCTGGCACCGCTTTCGCTGTTGCTATCGGTATGTCCATGCAGCGACATGGCCATCATTAGCTCCTCCTCGTCCTTGAGGCAGGCCGATTCCAGATGCTTGTTTAGGTACGACTTGAGCGCGAACGTCTTGTGGCAGCGCTTGCACTCAAAATTCTTGTCCACCGAGTGCGTCTGCATGTGCGCCCGCAGATTGGACCTATCCGCAAAGGCCTTGCCGCAGTGCGCACACCCGTACGGCTTCTCCCCGGTATGGGAGCGCAGATGACCCTGCAGCAGCCAGGGGCGCGAGAATAACTTGCCGCAAACGCCGCAACTGTGCGAGAGCTTGTGCGTCAGCACGTGCATCGCGAGGGCGGGCATCGAGACGTAAGCCTTGCCGCAGGTGTGACACTTCTTGGCCGACTGCGAGTCCAAGGAGCGATGTGTCTGCTTGTGGCGCGACAGATTGCTGGAGGTGGCATATTGCTTGCCACATTCGGAGCACGTGTACTTGGTCTTTTGTTGATCCTGGACCACAATTGCGGCCGGATCGGCCACATGTTTGCGCTTGGAGCGGCCATCGCTCACAAAGAAGGCCTCGTAGGTGTACGCCACGGTCTTGGCCGCCTGTCCGCCATCCACATCGCCATCACCATCCGCATCGCATTCCACAGAGAGACCCAGACCAGGACGCAGCTGATTCGTGTTGGTTGTGTTGCTGTTCTCGTTCTGCACATTGCTGCTGCTCTGGCTGCTACTGCTGTGGCTGCTGGCCGGGCTGCTCGGCGGCAGGTGGCTGCTGCTCGCGCTGGAGGCATTGCTTAAGGGGCGTTGTTCGTTAACCGCGCTGGCCACAGCCGCCAGTTCGGCAATCGATGACGTACTCCGCACATGCGCATGCGCCTCCATATGGCCATGTGCTGTGTGCATGTGGCCAAGATGATGCTGTTGCTGTTGCTGCTGTTGCAGTTGGTGTGGCTGCGTGGGCGGGTGGAATGCGGTCGAGGCGCTCAGATCGAGTATGGCGTGCGCGGCATGCAAGTCCTCCTCGGCGGGCACACGCCTCCGATAGACGTGCGCCGGCTTGTCGTCCAGCGAGTACGGCCTGTAGATGTCTTTCTTTTTGGGCGGCAGCGACAGCGTCGCGCCTGTGCTGCTGAAGCATTTGCGCTCGCTGCTCGTTTGTCCGGACTCGGTCTTGATGTGCACCATGCCGGGACTGTATCTATCGCCATGCAAGGCGCCGCTGGGCGAGCACGAGGGCGACGATGTCGTTGACGAGGGCGGCGTCTGATACGCGGCTAAATGCTGCTGCTGCTGCTCTCCCCCGGCTGCGTTTGTGGCGGCTGCTGCCACCAGCGCTGTGGCCGCCGCTCGTATAACCGTTATCTCGCTCTCCATCCGGGGCAGGTACGCGGTGTAGTGCGGAGGCGACAGCTCACGCGTGTAGCCTGCAACCAGAAGAGAGTAAAGGGTATTCGGGATTAGAGTTGGGCCAAGCAGGTTGCAGCTGTCAATTATTTCTCTCCTCCTAAACCTTCTCAGATCCATGCAAATAGCTATTGAATGTTCGCTTCTTTACGCTTGAGCAAACAAAAATGTAAATGTAAAAATTCTTTACGCTTGATAAATATGCTATAATGAATGTATATGCAGAAAAGTATGCAACAAATTTTGCCTAGAAAATTTAGCTAAAGACCTTTTCATTAGAAACCAAGAAATTTGTGCATAAATTAAGGTTGCAACTTTTTAAAATGTGAAGAAAAACTCTTGCTTCAAGAAAGATATGGAATGGAATGTTGAAAGTATTTCTTTGACTCCGTAAAATATGCTGTGCTAGGGGATGCAACAAATCGTGATAAGTGAAAGTATTCTAAAGCAAGTCTCAAATTTGATACTAAATTTAAAAAGTTTCGCAGAAGATTGTTTTAAGCTGCATTTAGATATTCAATTTCTTAAAACGAGTAGAAAACTCTTATATATAAATCATTCCTTCTAACGACATTGGGATAAATCTCAAATTTGGTACTAAGCCTAAAATGTTTAGGAGAAGAGTGTTGTAAGATGGTTTTAAGTATGAAATCTCTTTCAAATCAAGACAGAAATTTCTTAAAATGAGAAGAAAAGTCTTGAGTGTAAATAATTTGGGATACGGCTTAAAATGAAAAAAAAAAATCCTAGATTATGACTCAAATTTGGTACAAAATTTAACAAGTTTCGAGGAAGATTGTTTTAAGCTGCTTCAAGAAATTTATTGCTGTAATAAATTTCTTAAGAAAAGTATTTTAAACTTAAGTTAAACGCTTTTCAACTAATTTCAGAAAATTTTTCTACAGAAATTGGAGTGCTATTTTTTTTTTAAAATTTTTTTTCGGAGTGCTGTGTCTTTAATTCCTTGTTTTCTACTCACCATTGTAGGCATTGGTGGCTCCTCGCGTCGCTGCCTCCGGCGAATGCGGCGGCGGACTTGGCGCCGTGGTGCCCGCCGTTGGTGAGCTGGGTCCCCAGCACTTTGCCGTTGTTGTTGTTGTTGCTGCTGCCGTTGTTGTTGCTGTTAATGTTGTTGTTGCTGTTGTGCTGTCGTTTGTTGCTGCTGCGGCTGTTGCTGCTGATGCTGCTGTTGTGACAATAATTGTGCGTTGCTTGTCGGACTTGGTAAGGAGCTTGTCGCCAACAACATCGATCTCCTCGTCATCGTCGAGCGTGGAGCGACGTGACTTGAGATTGGGCGACAGCTGCTCCTCCCGAGAGCTCGTGGTCGCCGTCGTCGTCGTCGTCGTCGTTGTGGCCGTATCCTCTGAGCGATCCAGCCAGGGATATGCCTTCCATTTTTTGGCAATCAGGCAGCGCGGCATTTTGATTGGGTTAACAATGATTGACTGATTGAGTGATTGAGCGATTGAGCGGTTAAAAGTTGTCAGTTGTAGGCTAGTTGATAGTGTTAAGTGCTGAAGCGAGTTGTTTGTTTCGTACGAGCAAAGACCGTCCTAGGGGGTATTATTTGGTGGCAAAGCGGAAAGGAAATGTTGCACTTTTTATTTCGCATATGAAAAATAGATTGGCTCGCCGAAATTAAAATAGAGTTTAGAGTTGACTCAGTTCGAGTTTATGGCTCGGCATTCGCATTGCTGCGTCTAGCCCCATTCGATCATAATTCAATTTCCAATTGTAAATTGCATTTTATTCGGTTTTTTTTTTTGTATATAATACGTTGATAAATTGGTTTGCGGTTCTTGGTTTTTGGTTTTCGGTTTTCGGTTAGGATACTTCAAATTTCACAGCCACTTTACACATTTCTGCGCTTTATTCATGCTCTCTCCTGGTCAAGGAGCCGTAGTCAACTTTTTTGGTCAACTTTGGCTCGAGTTTGGGGTCTTTTGCTTTTTGTTGTGTGTGTGTGTTTTTTTTTGGGTGTTTTTGGGGTCTCTCTGGACAGGGACACGTTTTGCTGCGTTTGCGTTGGCTGCGTGTGGTTTATCGATTTTTACATTTGCGTTTACGTTTACGTTTGTTTTTACACAACGAGCGGGGGGAGTGCTTCAAATAAAGCGGTTCGGTCAACTGCGAGGGGGTCGGGTTTGGTAATTGTATTGCTCCATATATCCTTTTGGCTTGCTGTTATTGTTAAATAATAATTATTGTTGTTTTTGTATATATTTTTTATTATTGTGATTTTTGGTAAACAAGTTCAAATGAAATATTGTTGTTGTCGACTTAAATAAGTTTTGATATTTGTTTTTGTTTTTGTTGTTGTTGTTTTTTTTTTTTGTTATTTTGTTTTGTTTTATAAAACAGAAAGTATAGACGTTAGAGTTGTAAAAGTTAGGTTAGTTGACACGAGTTTTGTTGAAAAGTTGAGTTTTAATTATTGTTGTTGGTAGTGAAAAAATTGATTTAGGAGAAAATATAATATTATATAAGATAGAGAAGAAATGCGAACGAACCGAACGTAAGCAACTCTTGAATGCTTATGAGAATACAACTGAACGAAACGTCGCTTATAAGGGTTGCCGAATGAAATGGAAAGGAAGAGTGAGCCGAAACGCAACGAAACGAAACGGAATGAAACCGAATGGAATGGAACGTAATAGAACTGAAAACACAGCACCTAAACTACCCCCAAAAATAACAGAGTAGCTGTTGCGTGTCTTTAGGGCAGCTGCACACGTCGCAAAGGGGAAGTGTATCAATTCTAAACATATATTTTTTTATAAATTCTTCTTAATTTATTATATTATTAAATATATAGTTATGATTTTTTTTTTAGACAAAGGGGAAATCATTTAAATTTTTTAAATATATTTTTTTCTTATTTTTTTTATTAATTATAATCTTCAATAGTTAAAGCTGTATTTTTTACAGTTATAGTTATTATTTTTATATATATATAGTATTATTTTTTTTAACAGAGGAAAAATTATTTAACTTTTTAAAATATATTTTTGCTATTTTTTCTTAATTTACTATAATATTTAATTGCTTAAGCTACATTTTGAATACTCTTTGGTTTCATACGAATATTGGTTTATCAGACTAGTCTTGTATGATAGTGTGTAGCGGCATTAAGGAGCCCAACAATCAGGAAGCGTTCCATTGCCGCTCGTTTTGCCATTGGCTTTTTCCTCCAATTGTTGCGTCCCTCCCTCTCCCTCTGCCGCTCCGCTCTTGGCTCGTACCTGAATTGGCTCATGGCTCCTTTTTGTTATTGAACATTTTGGGGTGGATTTTTGCAACAGCGTCGCCGTCTCCGTCGAATGTGGCAGTTGTGCCGAGTTAATTGCTCTTGCTGTTGCATTGCATTTGTTGCTGAACTTTGATTTTGAACAAATTGCCAAAAATGACGGGCGAATGGGGTGGGTGGCGTTGGCTTGTGGGAGTAGGGGGTGTGTGTGCTAAAGGGGTGGAGTTTTGAGCAACAGTCGTTGGATTGCGGCATTGTTGATTGCATGTAGGTGGCGATGGGAGCAGAAGGTTGCTGGGTGGGCGGTGAAGGGTGAAGGGTGAAGGGGAGGTGGACTGTCAGCAGAGGAGGGAGAGGGGCTGGCGTGGTTACTCGCTGGTAATACATTAAAGCATTTGCTTGGGCGTAGGTTTTTCGTATATCAAAGGTCAGGACGCGTTGGAAATATACGATTTCATTCAGCTTAAGTTCAAAATTTAATTAAAAGATTGAACCTGGTCTCGCTATCAATGCGTTTATAGAATTAATCTTAAAACTTACTATTTAACTCTGGGAATATATTTTAATAAATATACTTCTATAAGGGCATATAAAAGCCGTTGGGGCTCTCTAGCACTCAGTTTAAGTCTTAGATAATTAATTAGGACATAAAGTGCCGAAAAAATCAAGAATAACTTTTATTTTTTTTTTTTACTTGGCCAACTGTTACGTCGCATGAGCTTAGCTGGCAAAAAGATGATTTATTCAATTATTTTCGTTTTAATATGGGTACGGATTATTTTTTTTTGAAGTCAGAGCTCCTGATATTTTGAAAATGGGGGATCATTTGACTGGGAACGTAAACAACATATCGCAGCTTAGACCCCTTTTATATGGCCTCTTGAGTCTGAGGCACTTAACCAAGAAATGCCATTCATTGTGCGGACAATCCATCTAGCTGTGAGACCTAAGAGACCTCTTAGCATAAACAAATATTCCTTGAAATGTAACGTACCGACCATCTGTGGAATTCGGCTGCACTAATTACAATTGGGCACCTCTGGCAATGGAAGCCCTAAATATGCGACCCAAGTTGTCCTGGTGGCAACCACACATGGCACACAAACTTCGCTCTCCAAATTGTAATCTGCTTTTCCAGCTAAAAGGCGAGCTTGTTGCGCTTCGCTAGCCGCTTTAGGGGGTGGCTTCTGTACGTTGTGAATAAAAATGAAAATGAAAATATGATCGGGATCGTTAAGAGGCACGCGCAGCTGTATTGAGGCGAGCACCGTACCAGCCATATGGCTTCTCGGGCAGGGACTCGGACGGGGTAGGATCCACGCGTCACGACAGGAAACCAAATTATGCAGCCGGAGCAAAGGCGAGATTCGTTCAGCTGGAACAAGGACAGGACAATATGGTTCCTGTATCGCGGCGTTATTAGCGTTAGTTTAAGGGTAAAAACAAAGGTGCCAGCATTTCTAGCCGCGGCAGGGATCCAGTTGAGCGCGTTTGCGAGCGTGCAAAAAACAGGAAATGCTCTACAAGTGCAGCTGCCCGAGGACCCCAGTCCAGCTGGCTGGGTGGGTGGGTGGTTGGTTGCGCCTGAAATTGTCAGCTTGCCAAACGCTTTTGGCGTTGCCCAGCGAAACAGAACGCCCGCAGTGGCGCCCTCTCCCCGCCCGCTCCCCGTCGCACTCCTTTAGCCGTATCGAGCGAAGTGTGACGCTCGCGTGGCACGGGCCAGGAAGTGGCAGCTGTAACAGAAATAGAAACAGAAACACAACCAGCCCAAAAACTGTTGATCCTGCCCCTGCCCCTGCCCCTGCCGCAGCCTGCTCAGGGCCCAAATGCCAGACACAAAGCGAGCGAGAGCAAGAGGGAGAGAGCGAGAGGACAAATGTGCCAGGTGTCTGGCATGCTCTTTCTGCTTTTTCCCTTCAATGATGTATTAAAGTGGAAACAAGCACGAGTTGTTCCGTGCACTCTGCTTCTTCTCGGCTCTGTACGTATTGTCTGTCTAGCTGGGCGGACCAACTGGCGGACTGGCGGACTGGCGGGCGGACCGACTGACTGGCAGACCGGGCGCCGTTGAGTTTTTCCCAAATGCTATTTGTTCCTGTGTTCTTGCTATAATTTCATTGTTACTCCTTTTTCAACGGCTCTGCGAACCACCCCATCATCGTTATTATCGTCAACAACATCATCATCATCGCCATCAGCAACAGCAGCAACAGCAACAACAACAACAACAACAACAACAACAACAGCAACAACAACAACAGCAACAGCAACAGCAACAACAACAACAACATCAGCAACACCACCACCCAGCAATCAACCCCCTCTCACCGCTTGCCATTTGGCGTGTACATAGAAACAGCAAACAGGTAAAACAGCAACAGAAACAGCAACAACAACAACAACAACAAAATTTCGTGTGCCTGTTTCATTAGCAATAAAAAAAACAGCTACAACAACTACAACAACATCCACAACAACATCTACAACAAGTAAATGTGCTCTAGTCATAAATGCCCGACTAAAAGATACCTCGCAGCCGGCGTCAAGTCATTATTGCACATATTTAGCTCCCTTCTATGAATAACCCATCGAATATTTAACCCAGCGTCAAGAAATATTTTAGCTCTTTTCTATATATAATCCATGGACCACCACATTGGAAAATGCTAAAAGATTCACCGAAGCCAGCCTCAAGTTGTCATTACAATCATTTTAGCTACTTTCTAGATGTAGACCCAGACCTTAGTTAATATATTCTAGATCAATTTAGTTGACTTTGGTCCCAACTTTATGAATCTTGAAGTGCTTAAATGTGGCTTACATAGTTTAATTTCTTTCGATATTGTGGAAAATTTTCCAAATATATATAATATTAAATTGTTTAAGCTATAGCTATGATTCTTTTTGGTTTCATGCATTTGCCCGAAAAACAATCCACCTTTTTTTTTGACAATTTCGACGGGTATATCAACAGAAAAGAAGTCAGTTTACGTCATCGCCAAATTGTGCTTCACTCCTTTCGTTGGGGGGCCGAGACTTATTAGCATGTCCTGCAACAGGATACAAACAAGTTGAGCTCACTTGTACGGATTCTTGAGCTGGACACACGTTCCACGTTTCATTCAAGTAATTTGAAACTTTGTATTTTTAATTACATTTGTTTGAGCATTGCGAAATCTCTCGCTCGGAACTCGGAGCTGAAAATTGGGACTCGGGTTATTTAGGCGGCAGCTGTTGCCGGCGAAGCCCACAAATCGTTAGATGAGATGAGTTCAAAGACCTTCTCGATATGTGGTCGGGACGGGTCCAGGACCAGGTAGAAGAAACACTCTGAAATATATTTACGGTAGCCTGGCCGAGACTCGCCCTACGAACCCGAAGCGACGACGGGACGGGACATCATTTGACGATCTACATAAACAACAACAACAACAACATGAGCAGGAACTGGATTTGGTGGTGCGATTGCCATTGATGCTCGTCTGTAAAAAAAAGGAAAAGCAGCCAAAGGGCGAGACGAACGTCGGAGCAGAATGCGCGCGCGGCTTTTCATTCGATTTTCAGCAATTTTCCGACAGCTGTCCACGTTTGCATTATTATATCAGCAGCTGATTCCTGACCCTGAGTCCTGATACTCGTTTGAGTTTGGGTTCGGCTTCGAATTCGGTCGACGACAACGGCTGCACCCAGTTCTTGTATTACATTTCGGCTCGGCTAGGTTACTGCCCTCTGCCATTTGTTCCCTCTCTCTGTGTCTGTGTGTGTGTGTGTTTGTATTTTTTGAGTTCATCAACTAATGGCTGGGATATGCAGAGCCAGACATTAATTTGAATATGGTCCTTAACAAAAGTCCCAAAATGCATTTACCTCATTGATCACTCAAGCAGTTGATTCCATTAAACTTGTCCATTGTTCCCTTTCTTGTGGGTACTCTTATGTTAAATTGCGAGAGCCGATCGGACTTTGAGTTCCTAGCCAATAAGTTCGCCTTAACTGAATTATCTCAACGGAAACTCCTTTTTCCCAAGTATTTCTGGGATAGACCTCAAAATTGCAAGTTAATTTTTATTTTTCATTCGCACAACTTTGCCCAAACTCAAACGGTTTATAATAAGGTTTTACTTTTAGTTTATGGTTTGACCTCTTGATCAATTTGGCATCTAAACCTGGCACCAATATTATTAGGCAAAATTCATTAAACTCGGTTCAGTTTCAACCGAGTTATGCGAATGGGAAGTTTCGACCCATGTCTATGTACGAAACTAGGGGTAAGATTTTGACATGAATTTCGACCAAAAATGTTGTCTTCAGATTTGAATGCCAAATATATCTAGAGGAAAAACCATGAAGAAAAAGCCAAGGTTCATGAAAATCGGTTGAGTTTCGACCGAGTTATGCGAACGGGAAGTTTTGACCCATGTCTATGTACGAAACTAGGGGTACGATTTTGACATGAAATTCGAAGAAAAATTTTGTTTTCAGATTTAACTGCCAGATTATCTTAGAGGGGAAATCATGAATAAAAAGCCAAGATTCATGAAAATCGGTTGAGTTTCGACCGAGTTATGCGAATGGGAAGTTTCGACCCATGTCTATGTACGAAACTAGGCGTAAGATTTTGACATGAATTTCGAACAAAAATTTTGTTTTCAGATTTAAATGCCAGATTATTTTAGAGGGAAAATAATGAATAAAAAGCCAAGAATCATGAAAATCGGTTGAGTTTCGACCGAGTTATGCGAATGGGAAGTTTCGACCCATGTCTATGTACGAAACTAGGCGTAAGATTTTGACATGAATTTCGAAGAAAAATTTTGTTTTCAGATTTAAATGCCAGATTATTTTAAAGGGAAAATTATGAATAAAAAGCCAAGACTCATGAAAATCGGTTGAGTTTCGACCGAGTTATGCGAATGGGAAGTTTCGACCCATGTCTATGTACGAAACTAGGGGTACGATTTTGACATGAATTTCGAAGAAAAATTTTGTTTTCAGATTTAAATGCCAGATTATTTTAGAGGGGAAATCATGAATAAAAAGCCAAGACTCATGAAAATCGGTTGAGTTTCGACCGAGTTATGCGAATGGGAAGTTTCGACCCATGTCTATGTACGAAACTAGGGGTACGATTTTGACATGAATTTCGAAGAAAAATTTTGTTTTCAGATTTAAATGCCACATTATTTTAGAGGGGAAATCGTGAATAAAAAGCCAAGACTCATGAAAATCGGTTGAGTTTCGACCGAGTTATGCGAATGGGAAGTTTCGACCCATGTCTATGTACGAAACTAGGGGTACGATTTTGACATGAATTTCGACCAAAAATGTTGTCTTCAGATTTGAATGCCAAATATATCTAGAGGAAAAACCATGAAGGAAAAGCCAAGATTCATGAAAATCTGTTGAGTTTCGACCGAGTTATGCGAATGGGAAGTTTCGACCCATGTCTATGTACGAAACTAGTTTTAAGATTTTGACATGAATTTCGAAGAAAAATTTTGTTTTCAGATTTAAATGCCAGATTATTTTAGAGGGAAAATAATGAATAAAAAGCCAAGACTCATGAAAATCGGTTGAGTTTCAACCGAGTTATGCGAATGGGAAGTTTCGACCCATGCCTATATACGAAACTAGGGGTACGATTTTGACATGAATTTCGACCAAAAATGTTGTCTTCAGATTTAAATGCCAGATTATTTTAGAGGGAAAATAATGAATAAAAAGCCAAGACTCATGAAAATCGGTTGAGTTTCGACCAAGTTATGCGAATGGGAAGTTTCGACCCATGTCTATGTACGAAACTAGGGGTACGATTTTGACATGAATTTCGAAGAAAAATTTTGTTTTCAGATTTAAATGCCAGATTATTTTAGAGGGAAAATAATGAATAAAAAGCCAAGACTCATGAAAATCGGTTGAGTTTCGACCGAGTTATGCGAACGGGAAGTTTTGACCCATGTCTATGTACGAAACTAGGGGTACGATTTTGACATGAATTTCGAAGAAAAATTTTGTTTTCAGATTTAAATGCCAGATTATTTTAGAGGGAAAATAATGAATAAAAAGCCAAGACTCATGAAAATCGGTTGAGTTTCGACCGAGTTATGCGAACGGGAAGTTTTGACCCATGTCTATGTACGAAACTAGGGGTACGATTTTGACATGAATTTCGAAGAAAAATTTTGTTTTCAGATTTAAATGCCAGATTATCTTAGAGGGGAAATCATGAATAAAAAGCCAAGACTCATGATTTTCGGTTGAGTTTCGACCGAGTTATGCGAATGGGAAGTTTCGACCCATGTCTATGTACGAAACTAGGGGTACGATTTTGACATGAATTTTGACCAAAAATTTTGTCTTCAGATTTGAATGCCAAATATATCTAGAGGAAAAACCATGAAGGAAAAGCCAAGATTCATGAAAATCTGTTGAGTTTCGACCGAGTTATGCGAATGGGAAGTTTCGACCCATGTCTATGTACGAAACTAGGGGTACGATTTTGACATGAATTTCGAAGAAAAATTTTGTTTTCAGATTTAAATGCCAGATTATTTTAGAGGGAAAATAATGAATAAAAAGCCAAGACTCATGAAAATCGGTTGAGTTTCGACCGAGTTATGCGAACGGGAAGTTTTGACCCATGTCTATGTACGAAAGTACTGGTAAGATTTTGACATGAATTTCGAAGAAAAATGTTGTTTTCAGATTTAAATGCCACATTATTTTAGAGGGGAAATCGTGAATAAAAAGCCAAGACTCATGAAAATCGGTTGAGTTTCGACCGAGTTATGCGAATGGGAAGTTTCGACCCATGTCTATGTACGAAACTAGGGGTACGATTTTGACATGAATTTCGAAGAAAAATTTTGTTTTCAGATTTAAATGCCAGATTATTTTAGAGGGAAAATAATGAATAAAAAGCCAAGACTCATGAAAATCGGTTGAGTTTCGACCGAGTTATGCGAACGGGAAGTTTTGACCCATGTCTATGTACGAAACTAGGGGTACGATTTTGACATGAATTTCGAAGAAAAATTTTGTTTTCAGATTTAAATGCCAGATTATCTTAGAGGGGAAATCATGAATAAAAAGCCAAGACTCATGATTTTCGGTTGAGTTTCGACCGAGTTATGCGAATGGGAAGTTTCGACCCATGTCTATGTACGAAACTAGGGGTACGATTTTGACATGAATTTTGACCAAAAATTTTGTCTTCAGATTTGAATGCCAAATATATCTAGAGGAAAAACCATGAAGGAAAAGCCAAGATTCATGAAAATCTGTTGAGTTTCGACCGAGTTATGCGAATGGGAAGTTTCGACCCATGTCTATGTACGAAACTAGTGGTAAGATTTTGACATGAATTTCGAATAAAAATTTTGTTTTCAGATTTAAATGACAGATTATTTTGGAGGGAAAATAATGAATAAAAAGCCAAGACTCATGAAAATCGGTTGAGTTTCGACCGAGTTATGCGAATGGGAAGTTTCGACCTATGTCTATGTACGAAACTAGGGGTACGATTTTGACATGAATTTCGAAGAAAAATTTTGTTTTCAGATTTAAATGCCAGATTATTTTAGAGGGAAAATAATGAATAAAAAGCCAAGACTCATGAAAATCGGTTGAGTTTCGACCGAGTTATGCGAATGGGAAGTTTCGACCCATGTCTATGTACGAAACTAGGGGTACGATTTTGACATGAATTTCGACCAAAAATTTTGTTTTCTGATTTAAATGCCAGATTATTTTAGAGGGAAAATAATGAATAAAAAGCCAAGACTCATGAAAATCGGTTGAGTTTCAACCGAGTTATGCGAATGGGAAGTTTCGACCCATGTCTATGTACGAAACTAGTGGTAAGATTTTGATATGAATTTCGAATAAAAATTTTGTTTTCAGATTTAAATGCCAGATTATTTTAGAGGGAAAATAATGAATAAAAAGCCAAGACTCATGAAAATCGGTTGAGTTTCGACCGAGTTATGCGAATGGGAAGTTTCGACCCATGTCCATGTACGAAACTAGGGGTACGATTTTGACATGAATTTCGAAGAAAAATTTTGTTTTCAGATTTAAATGCCAGATTATTTTAGAGGGAAAATAATGAATAAAAAGCCAAGACTCATGAAAATCGGTTGAGTTTCGACCGAGTTATGCGAATGGGAAGTTTCGACCCATGTCTATGTACGAAACTAGGGGTACGATTTTGACATGAATTTCGACCAAAAATTTTGTCTTCAGATTTGAATGCCAAATTTATCTAGAGGGAAAACCATTAAGAAAAAGCCAAGATTCATGAAAATCGGTTGAGTTTCGACCGAGTTATGCGAATGGAAAGTTTCGACCCATGTCTATGTACGAAACTAGGGGTAAGATTTTGACATGAATTTCGAAGAAAAATTTTGTTTTCAGATTTAAATGCCAGATTATTTTAGAGGGAAAATAATGAATAAAAAGCCAAGACTCATGAAAATCGGTTGAGTTTCGACCGAGTTATGCGAATGGGAAGTTTCGACCCATGTCTATGTACGAAAGTAGGGGTAAGATTTTGACATGAATTTCGAAGAAAAATTTTGTTTTCAGATTTAAATGCCAGATTATTTTAGAGGGGAAATCATGAATAAAAAGCCAAGATTCATGAAAATCGGTTGAGTTTCGACCGAGTTATGCGAATGGGAAGTTTCGACCCATGTCTATGTACGAAACTAGGCGTAAGATTTTGACATGAATTTCGAAGAAAAATTTTGTTTTCAGATTTAAATGCCAGATTATTTTAAAGGGAAAATTATGAATAAAAAGCCAAGACTCATGAAAATCGGTTGAGTTTCGACCGAGTTATGCGAATGGGAAGTTTCGACCCATGTCTATGTACGAAACTAGGGGTACGATTTTGACATGAATTTCGAAGAAAAATTTTGTTTTCAGATTTAAATGCCAGATTATTTTAGAGGGGAAATCATGAATAAAAAGCCAAGACTCATGAAAATCGGTTGAGTTTCGACCGAGTTATGCGAATGGGAAGTTTCGACCCATGTCTATGTACGAAACTAGGGGTACGATTTTGACATGAATTTCGAAGAAAAATTTTGTTTTCAGATTTAAATGCCACATTATTTTAGAGGGGAAATCGTGAATAAAAAGCCAAGACTCATGAAAATCGGTTGAGTTTCGACCGAGTTATGCGAATGGGAAGTTTCGACCCATGTCTATGTACGAAACTAGGGGTACGATTTTGACATGAATTTCGACCAAAAATGTTGTCTTCAGATTTGAATGCCAAATATAT